TTCGTGAAAATATTTGGTATCAAATCACAGGTATTACACACGCCGTCTGGGGTACCTCAAGGTGGCCATCTTTTCCCGTTACTCTTTACATTGTTCATTAATGACGTAAAAAAAGTTGTTCGCCACAGTGAATTCTTACTATTTGCAGACGACTTAAAGCTATTTCTAGAAATTGCTCAGAGTCATGCTCAGTACATGACTGTCAATTACTTCAAAGTGACTTATGCGCATTAGATGCTTGGGCTATAAATATTGGTTTGGACTTCAATGTCTCTAAATGTTGCTCAAAGTCTTTTTATAGAGGTCGCACTCACTTAGAATTTAAATACTTACTTCGTGGGACCTATCTTGCTATTGGAGATCTTTCACCGTATGGGTGAAAGATCCACCGTATTGGTGAAAGATCTTGGAGTTTTCTATGATAGAAACTTAAATTTTCATAACCAAATAGATGCAACATGCTGTAAAGCTTTAAAAGCTCTTGGATTTCTTAAGCGGGTTTGTAACGAATTTAAGTTGATAACTCCACTAAAAGCTTTATATTGTGCCCTTATCAGATCCATTCTTGAATTTTCTGTTATTATATGGAACCCTCACACCGCAAGCAATATGAATCAACTGGAAAGAGTCCAACGAAAGTTTTTGAGTTTTGCTGCATATCTATTATAAATAGAACATAGACCTCATGTTTATGATGCAGTATTAAATAGGTTAGGTTTACAGTCTTTAGCTGATAGACGTATTACCATTAACAAGGTCTTCCTGCTCAAACTTATCGATGGGTCGATCGACTGTCCTGAACTTCTTTCTAAAGTCAACTTTAAAATTCCCTGTATCCATATCCGCTCTTTCTATCCTTTTACTATTCCACTGTATATAACAAATTATTCCCGTAACAAACCACTGAATAGGATGATGCGTATTGCCAACGGGGATCCGTCTTTTAGTTTTTAAGTTATAATTTGTAATATATTTTTCTTTTGTCTTATTATCTTTTTCATAGTTATTAGTTTATAGTTAATTTGATATTCTGTACTTTGGGCTGCGGCCCGTATTGAAATAAAGTAAAATAAATAAAAATAAATTATTTAAAATCCAAACTTCATGTAACATATTATGTTCAAAACATAGTTTTTAAATTAAATAATATTTTTCTACGGTTATGTTAGGTTAGGATTAATATTTAACTTTATATTTATTACAAAATAATTTTCAGATTCACTGCATTATTTATGTAACATAATCATGCCAAACTGTACTAATTGGGCAAAATATGCACGCTTCTCTTTAAGTTGATATTCTTCTTTTGAGCCTTCAAGTCTACTTTATTTAAATGTTTACCTTTGAATTTTAAGTAATTTAATAGTTATATTTGAATTATCTAACACAACTCCATCGGAGAGTATCCTAGCCAAGTAGTTCTTTTTGATGTTACAAAAACCATTTTTAACAACAATTTTTTTTTCGAGTTTGCTGAATAAACAAATTGCCAGCTTTGTTTTCTAACTTAATCCCATGTTGAACAAATTTGATGTTAATACTTGAGACCAGAGGTATTTACTGGCTTTTAAAGTCCATTGACTCACTGATGTTGACCATATGTATAAAGCGAATAACACCTGCTTCCTGTGACTTTAAATTGTCTTACACTTTTCCAGAATGACCTATCATTTTCTGTTCTTATGCGTACCTACCTATGTCATTAGTTTCAAATTAAGTAATTTTTGACATTAGTTTTTCACAACAATTTCCTAAATTTAATACTATGGGGATGGGGGTGTTAATGGTGATGGGGATGTTACATTTTTTAAAGTTATATGTTGTTTTTACAACGAACAAACTTGAATGAATGGTTAAATTTATTCAAAATAACCAATTGAATATTTTGCCAATAAATCAATAAAGGCCAATTATTAAAAAACTATTTTTTTTTTAATTGCTGAATTGTCCAGAATGGGAGGGGAAATTAAAAAACCTACTAAACATTTTTTTGAAACAGACATATTTTATTATAAAGGCTTTAGAATCACTATTATTATAACATTATATATCTTATAAGTTATAATAATAATTAGTAAGTACTAATAAACGGATTAGAAACATATAAATTATTTAATTTAATAGTTATTAATAAAATAAAAAAGACAAGTTCTGATCATTTAATGTTAGCGTGACAAAAACCCTAACTTTATTTCTGAAGTTTGAGTATCATTGTGCGATTTTGTGTAATTGAGTCACAAACTATTGGTGCATATTTTTATTAGGAAATAACTTAACTTAAAAAAATTGAAATATCAATATTCAATGATGTTAAAAAATTTACCGTTACAGAAAAATCAAATCTTTTTTGTCAACAAGATGGGGAAAACAAAAAAAAAGTAAGAGTTCTTCGAATCACAGTTTGGAATTACCGACTTAAATTATGTCGATAATTAATACAATTACAAACTTAACTGTGATTTTGTTGTAGGTTCCTTTAACACTATTTACAAACATCTAGTCTTTAGACAACTTAATCATTTAAACACAGTCCACTTTATTGCATTATTGTATTAATAAAGTTGTTTATATAAAAAAAAAAAGTTATAAATGTAAAATAGGCAAAATTTACTGTAGAATTAAAATAGTAAGCAAATTAAATCCAAAATTCTTTATTTAGTGTAAATTGGTTAAAACAATTATTTGAGCACAGAACATATTTTGAATAAATTGAACATAACTAAACAAATAATAGTAACGCTTCGCGACGCTTGTCCATTCAATGTATGCACTTTTGAGATTGTAAGCCAAATTTTAAAGCTATTGTTTATGTGTAGTACTGTGCTGTTACTTGTTGAATGTCATCGAGATAAAGAATACACTAGAGTACGCACTCCTTATTACGGCAACTTAAAAAAAAAGAGCTGCTGGGCGGCATACGGTTGCCGTACAGTGGTGAGGTGTAACGCATTACGTACTATACTACCGTACGGCAAGGTAGTGGGGATGGCGGCCCTTTTTTTCGGCTCAAATGCGCGCTCAAGTGTATTCTTTATTTCTATGTTGAATGTAGAACATAGGTAGGTAGTAGAAAAATATGATAACTAGATTCCATAAATTTTTTGCCTACAAATTTATGGAATTAAAAACATATGTTGTCATTTGAAAATGTGAACTTAGAACCTTTTTATCGTATAAGGCATGGAAATAAAAATTATCAAAACATTGAAAAATATAGTAAAACTTGTACCTAAAAGAATAGGAAACATTCATATTTTCTGAGAAAATGAGTGTCTTAAGTTAGTTGTTAGATACATTGTAATTACCTAATTAAAAGTTATCCTTATGATGATTTTGAATTTGTATTAAATCATACTGACTAAAATGAATCCTGGAAGTAAAGTTAATATCCATTATAGATGATTTTTGGACTAGTATTTAATTAAAACTGGTAAACTTAATAAACCATAAAAATGTAAACACTTAAATTAAAAATGATTAATATAATTGGCAGTAAATATTTTCAACAAATTGGTAATTGCTTATTTGATAAGTAATGAATAATAATAGTTATTTCATTTTTGAAGGTGTAATCATTTTACATAATATCATATACCATTATAGATTATCTTTAGTATTTGATAATATTGTGACGCAAAAGCCTTGACGTCCATCTACTCGCTACAACTATACGGCGATATCACTCCCTAAATGGGTATTTAGCTGATATAACTCCTTATTTGACCTTTAGAAACTATTATACTATTCCGTCTCTGCGTTCTACATACGACTCCATCCGGGGTCACTCTGTCTATGGACTAGTTATGTGTCCAACTATCACCGTCCGGGGATAACCAACTACTATAAGTACCCATAGGGCCAATTCGTCAGACGTCGTCCAGTCTTCTAGAGTACAACGTCCTGCTATTACGTGACCTACTGTCATACACTTTACTGTTTTATTGCATGGTGTTGTTAATATTTTCATAGTTAACACTCAAATTATAAGTTATTACTAACTTTTGTTGTTAACTTCTGTTCTGCGTACCCTCTTCCAACCTCAGACAGCCTCCAGGCATAACAATATTATGAATAAAAAATATAAGCTGCCTGCAGTAAGGTAGTTTACTAATAGAGATCGCCACAAGACTGTCTGAAAAGCAACTAGTACTTTTCCGGTCGCTTTTTTATTGCTCGTTGGACAACCATATTATCTTTAATCGTAAATATAATCATTCTTCATACTGCAAAAAGGGGTTTAGGAAACGTATAGGCTACAAAAGCTATATACGTGCTACTGCTGAAAAACCGAATAGATATTGATTTGAATTTCAAATCTTTACTAAGTCATAGAAAACGAACAGATAATTCAAAATTCAAATGCTAACATTTTTAAAAATACATATTAATGTAATTAAAAACATATGTTCCCATTTGAAAAACGTTGCGAGTTCCGTACTTCTTTAATGTATAAGTGTTGAAGACAAAAAATTCCTAAATATTTAAAAATGTAAAAAATGTATCTAAAAGTTAAGGGAAAAAAAATTCTTTAAATATTTATATTTTCAGAGAATATGAGTGTTTTACGCTAGTTGGATCACCCCGTATATATATATAAACTAACTGTGTAACCATGGTATATAAGTATATTTGTAAAATAATTGTAAGTTGAAAATATTATTTTATTTGTATTGTAATTTCATAATTTTGAGTTACAAAATTGAAATATATATATAAATTTATATATATATATATATATTTTATAATTATAAAAACAGAAATAATTTGAATATATAAAATATATCGCCAACAACATAGATAATAGAATTATGATTGATAATGAAGCTAAAGTATTAAAAAGTAATGACAAAAAGGATGTAAATAAAATTGGATCTACAAAAAGTCGTATTTCAGCGTTACGAAAACTGCAATTTTATCAAGGTAATCATGATTTTGAAATGTGTAAAAAGATGTATAATATAATGCGAAAATATTACAACGAAAGAAATCATATTTATAACATGCAAAAACCACTCATTTCTAAGATACCGGATTTTTGGCTGACTGTATTTAAAAATAGTCCAGTTCTTAGAAAAATCATAGAACCACACGATGAACCAATTCTTAAGCACTTAATTGATATTAAATGCAAAATTAACAATGCACTGGTCCAAATGGGATTTACACTAGAATTTGTATTTTCGCCAAATGCATATTTAAAAAATAATAAATTAAAAAAGGATTACATGCTGAAATGGGAATACTATTTGGATCAACCATATGGTGGATTAGATATTTATTCTGTACGATACTATCCTATAAGCTGGCATGGAAATATGGATCCAACGGTACAAACTGTTGAGGTATTACAAATGAATAACAGATGGAACATGGAACATGTACAAGTTGAAAGGATAAAAAAAAAATCATTTTTTGAGTTTTTCAAATCACCAAGAGGTAACCCAAGAGAAGTCATAATGGACAACTTTTATCAAGATGTCAAATTGGCTGATTACATTTGTCACACCATCAAACGAAATGCCATTCTGTACTACACAGGAGAATTTAACGAGAATATTATTAAGAAAAAAAAAGTGATTTCACGTGCGGCCATATTTTTACCTTGTTTAAGACGTTAAAATTGAATAAATTTGTAACAAGTTATGGCATATACTTACTCTATAGTAGGTACTGAGAACACAATAAAAGAAATTTCAATAAATTAAAAGTAATCATATGAAAAGTTATTTAAAAGATTTAAACACAAATATTTATGTTACAATATCAAATTTATATTAATACAGTTATACAATTTATCGTTAAACGGAGAACATTAATGATAAAATTAGAACAAATTAACCGTCAACAATAAGGGATTAAAATACATTGTTTTCATAATTTATTTTACTTCAAACTATAATGTGGGAGTACACTATATTATTTTTACATACAATTTTGATTTAAATAATATGTTAAATAAATTTAAAATTATATGGTAACGTCAGCGTAGTGTGTATGTAGTTTAACGCTCGTCGCATATTGTACCCCATTCATGTAAATTGTAAGGAGATATTATTCCAGTAATTATAATATTTAATATTCCATTTAAATCCAATAAATCTATTTAAATCCATAAGAGGTTTATATCCATTTGAACCTCCTCTTAATATTCGAACATTGAAACTATCGCTTAATTACATTACCCGCATTCTATCAACCCCAGAAAATTCAACCTATTCCTAATTGCAATTAATTTTTTCGTTTATTATCAAATATTTATATTATAAACTCCGTTATTTTTTGATCAGACCTTTAAAAATGTTTGTAGATCGACTACATTTTTCGATTCGTACTGTTTTAAGGGCTATGAATTTGTCTAAATTAGAGGAGATGATTAGAGCCGCTTAAGAAGAAGAACAATCTTCTTATAATAGAGAACCTAAATCTGATTCTTCAATTGCTAAACTTAAGTGTTACAACTGTAACGCAATCGGGCAGGTTAGCCATGACTTTAGAAAGCCTTAACGACATTCGAAGGCAGGAGATAAGGGGGACAAACCGATTGTTAACCAATAGTTTGATAGAAGTCCAAGTAAGATGATTTGCCAATATTGTAAAAAACCAGGGCACGAGTTGAAAGAATGTAGAAAATTGAAGTTTAAAAATTAGTAAAAGCTTAAAGTAGGAGAAAGTTCATTTCAGTCAATGACAGTGAAATAAAAACGTCTTCTTGTGGTCATAAAAAAATGTTTGATAATATTATTTGTGTGTAATTCAGCTTCGCCTCTGAATCAGACGGGTAAGTTTTTTATCGATACAGAGGCTGACTTAAATTTAATAGAGCTTTTTGCATTAAGTGATGACGTTAGGGTTAATTTAACAACAGTAAAATTACAGGGTGTTCATAACCAACCAATTTATACTTTGGGAACTATACTTTTGGCAAATTTATTGACTACAGATCATTTAAATCGAGAAGAACTCTTAGTATTAACTGATATTTGTTATGAATTTTCCGATATTTTTTTTGTAGAAGGAACTACATTGATAGGCACGGATTTAGTTACGCGTAGAATTATTACTCTAACTAATCAACAACCTATACATTTTAACATTTTAGATAATACCGTCTTCCTTAACAACATAAGGAAGAGGTTGACAGACAGATTAAGGAACTCGAAAGGCAAAAAATTATTTAAAAAAGGGCTGTTCTCTATGGAATTTTCCTTTAATTTTGGTTCCAAAGAAAAGTGATTCGCAGGAAAAACCTAAATATAGGCTTTGTGTAGATTTTCGGAAATTAAACGAAATCACGGAGGGTAACTCTTGGCCTTTGCCATTGATTCGGATATTCTAGAACATTTAGGACACTCTAAATATGTTTTAATTCAATCTATAACACTCCGTATTATCACGAACGCTCCTGGCTCCTGCCTACGTCTCTAACCATACTTTTCACACTGACTTAAAAATAAACGCAGTTGACGAAACGGCCAAAATCCTCTATAAACGATTCCGTTCTCGTCTGACAAATCATAAAAATCCTTTAATATTCGCCCTCAATTCCGATACCATCCCAGGCAACCCACCTCGTAGGCTCAAGAGGAAATGGTGTAGAGATTTAAATGTGAATTAAAATCCTAAGTCAATCCAATTAAATACCTAAACCACTCAAGTTAAAGAGTGCCGCCATTGGGCGGCTGCTTTTATTCATGTGTATCCAAGTCATTGTATTATTTCCGCTTACGGACTTATTGTAATATAATAATTACAGATTGTTTGTTTTACCAATAAAATGTAAAAAAAAAAAAAAAAAGATATGTTTAATGGTTATCAACAAATTGCAATTCATCTCATCATAAACAGGTCACTAGTAGTGGGTTAAATTACCTTTTGGGCTTAAAACGGCCCCAGCCGTATTTTCGCAAGTAATTCACACTTTATTATCTGGATGTGAAGATCTCTATATTTTCGCATATCTTGATTATACTGTCATCTTTGTGAAATCATTGGAAGATATGTTACACAAATTACGAATTGTATTTCGCCAATTTCAAGAGAATAATTTAAAATTACAACCAAGAAAGTGTTAATTTCTAAGTAAGGAAATTACTGATTTGGGTCATAAATCAACAGAAGGTAATATTATATTCTTTTAGTTAACGGCAGTAGAATAACATCGCATGATGCTGTAGTCAGCATTACTAATTAACTTGTTTTCGTATTTAATCTTTATTTGTTATTATATTATCTATTTACCACTGTATACCTATGTATATCGATTGTACTACATAAATATCAAAAGAGGGCAAGGGAAAAGGGTCAGTGTTGTCCAAGCGATGTTATGTAGGTAGTCTTGTCGTTAAACATATAACAAATTCATTTTACTTAGTCAAATAATTAAAGTTTTCTTTTTATTTATTATTCATTCTCAAGTAAAGGGATATAGCTTAAGTCACGTTACTACAGTTGGTGGCAGCGGGTAAAGTGATTACAAGTCTTTTACCAGTTTTTACTTCGAGAAGCGATTTATACACCACAACGTTAAGTATTTTTTTTTTGTATAAAAATACAATATATTTATGTGACGTATACTACCGTTAATTTTTCAACATCAGCTTAACATTTCTCAAAATCAAAATTTGTTCGAGTTACTACTAAAAAATAACGCTATATTTTCAACTTCGATTAAAAAAAAATTATTTTTATTTTTAATCAATACCAATTTCTACTTCGATCAAATATTTTGGTCACCATTTCAAACTTCTACATCGACTAATTTATTTGGTCAAATTTTCAACTTCAACGCCGATCAAATTATATTTGGTCACATTTTCAACTCCAACGTCGATCAAACTTTTAAATTCACCGTCAATCAAATTTTATTTGAAAGTTCAACGGCATTCGAGTCAATTCAACGTCGGTTCAATCAACGTCGGTTCAATTAATCGGACGACCGGGTCTTTCAACGGTATATCACGGGAAGGCGATTCACGTGTAAGCGTTTTGTTCCGGGACCTTTGTTTAATCCAATTTCAACTCACAAGACACGTGGTAATATTTTTTTTTTTTTGGGGTTTTCCATAATATTATTTTAAAGAATATAATAAAAATTAATTATTGGAAATAAAATTATAAATAACTTATTGTTAATTTTCTTTCAAGTTTATGTTTTTACTTTCTTTTTCTATTACAATAGTAAAACGAATTTTGAAATAATTTTTTTACACTTAATTTTTTCTTTCGTTATCAAATTTTTATAATCCAAACTCCGTTATTTTATGTCGAATATCGATCAGACATTTGAATATTTTCACACTTTAGCTAATTTTATAACCGAAGGTTCACAAAGACAAATTTATTTAAATAATTTAGAAACTTTATTGACTGAATTTGAATTATTAGCCATGAGTAAACTATCTTTTGGTGAGGCATTAAAACGTTTGCCGGAATTTGGGGGGCACAAAAACCAAGATTTAAATTTATTCGAAAAAAGGTGTCAAATTATTTTTAAATATATAGACGAGTCTCACAAAACGGATATTTTAGACGCATTGCTATGTAATTTAAGTGACAAAGCGTTAGAGGTTACACAACATAAAACTTTTGCTACTTTAGACGAGTTATTAAGGACATAAAAAAACAATTTTTCGAGCACACATTCGGATGCATATTTACAAAAAGAATTATGTTTAATTAAGCAGGGAAAAACTGAAAAAATTAGAGATTATGCTTCACGGTTAGAACTTGTGTTGTATAATTTAATTAATGAATTGACTAAATCTAAAAATCAAACTGAATCAAAAATAATTTCGGATGTTATCACTAAGCAGGCACAAAATATTTTTGTGGATGGATTACATTATTCAATTCGTAAAGTTTTAAGGGCTATGAATTTGTCTACATTAGAGGAAATGATTAGGGCTGCTTTAGAAGAAGAACAATCTTCTTATAATAGGGAACCTAAATCTGATGCATCTTCGCGTAATAAAATCAAGTGCTATAATTGTGATGTCATAGGGCACGTTAGTCGTGATTGTAGAAAACCGAAGCGTCAATCTAATTCAGAAAATAAAGAGGAAAAAACGTTCATAAAAAAAGAATTTGTTGGTAGTCCAAGTAAAGAAACTTGCCGGTATTGTAAAAAATCCGAGCACGAATTAAAAGACTGTAGGAAATCAAAGTATAATCACGAGAAAAAACTTAAAGTAGGCGAAAATTCAACTAAATCAATGACAGTTAGCGAAATTAAAACTTCTTCGATTATGGTAGTTAAAAAAATGATTGATAATCATATTACATGTAATTCGAATTTACTTATTAATCAAATGGGAAAATGTTTAATCGATACAGGTGCAGATTTAAATTTGGTTAAACTTTCAGCTTTAAACGATAATGTACATGTTAATATGAAATCGGTTAAACTTCAGGGCATTCATAAGCAACCAATTTTTACATTAAGAACAACTGATTTACAACTTTTAATCGACAATGATATTTTTGGCAATACTTTTTTTGTTCTTCATGACAACGTCTCACTTCCTCATGCGGGTATTTTGGGAAAACCATTTTTTTTTCGACCATAATGTAATGTTAAATTTAGGCACACAAGAAATGATTTTAACGAATAAACCAACTGTTACACAACCTTCTATTAATATTCCGGCTCGTTCTACTTCAATTTTCCAATTTCTGTTAACTGCGATAACCAAATACGGATATTTTAATGAACAAAAAGCAATTAAACGAACATGTGTGGATAGCTAACATGGTATCAAATTTATCTGAGAACAAAGTGTATGTAAGCGTATTGAATTTAGCAAACGATGATATTACAGTTCCTGGATTAACCTTATCTAATTTCTGTTGGGAACCATACACGGAAAATACGTTAGAAAAACAATCTTCCTTAACGACCTATGTGCAAATTAACGATAACCCATCGAATAAAAAAAGTTTAAATGAACAAATTCGCAATAACAATTTTAATGAGAACAAATCACAAAGTTACAATAATATTTTTAATATAAACGATTCAGCTAGTTTTAGAGATCGACATTCACTTTTGGTAGACTTACTAAATACAGACCATTTAAATCGGGAAATTGTTAGCTCTAATAGATATTTGTTACGAATTTTCAGATGTTTTTTTTGTAGAGGGGGTCTACTTAGTCAAATAATTAAAGTGTTCTATTTATTTATTATTCATTCTCAAGTAAAGGGATATAGCTTAAGTCACGTTACTACAATACAGACTAGCAGTGCGAACGTTAGAACGTAGTCACAAAACGTTAAAAGAATATTTGCGCTGTTTTGGGGAAAAGGAACAACAAGATTGGTGTGAGTATGTAAGTTACGCAGTGTATACTTACAGAGGCGGATCTAGTGAGGGGGTGCTAAGGCACCTCCCTTGGCCCGTGTTGGCTATTTTTTTGTTTGATAAGAAATAATTTTTAATTTAGATGGATAATAGATAATAAATAAATTGGTTCGTTCGTGTGACGGTTATCACCATGGACATTGGACATATGTCCAATAGAGAAACATCTTTTAAGGCAGTAAGTTTCAATTCTAGTGTTAGAAGAAGTGAGTTTGTAGTTTCATTAAAAACAGTAGCTAATTTATTTTCATAAAATATTAAGCATTCAACTGCAAAGTTCTAAACAAGACTTATCCAATGCTATGAAAAATATAAAAAAATGTAATAAATGTATTTGAGATAATATTCGAAAAATCCAGATGTCAATTTGATCCTTTATTTAAGACTGCAACTAAAAAAACACAAATGATTGGGGAAGATTTAAAAATTCCTCGTCTCTGTGGTCGGCAAATTTAAAGGAATAATGTAGCTGTTGGTGAGCCTAAAGAATGGTGTAAAATTTCAATATTTATACCATTTTTAGATCACATTATATGTGAACTTGAAACTCGATTTAGCGACAGGTTTGTTAAAATTATTGCTTTAGAAGGTCTAATTCCTGCATAAGATAATTTGTACGACATAAATAGTATATTAGACGCTACCAGATTATATACACAAGATATTTCAAATTCAGAATTGGAAATAATTGCTGAAATAAATTTATGGAAAAATAAATGGAACAACGTTGAAACTGATGTCCCACAAACTGCTGTTGAGGCATTAGCACATTTTGGTGATTTTTTTCCCAATATCAAAATTCTACTGCAAATTTTCTCCAAGAATCCGGTTACTACAGCCACTTCTAAACGATCGTTCTCAACTTTAAGAAGACAGAAAAATTATTTACGGTCAACAATGACGGAAATAAGGTTAAGTGATTTAGCCGTATTAAACATTCACAAAAATTTACCTGTTGACATCAAAAAAATTATGGACACCTTCTTTCTCCAGGAAAAAATAGAAGGATGCAGTTAGAAGACTGGTCTAAGTAAAAAAAATTTGATTTATTTACGTTATTATTTTTTTAAATAAGTAAGTAAATCTGAAATGAAGAAATACAATTTTTTTTCTAATCGTGATTTGTATTGTTTTTAAATATTAAATACCAAATTTTGGTACTATGACAATTGACAAGTAAAGTAGAAATGTTCCAATTTAACATGTTTGATGATGATTGAAGATGAATTCTAATATCTAAAAATATACGATAAAAAAATAAAAGCTGTTCCGTTTAATGTGGGTAACAAAGTGTTGTTAAAAATATGTCAATTATAAGCTAACTGATCAGGTCCTTATGACACTATAGAGACACATGTCCAGTTAATGTACCTATATTAAAAAATAATAAACCAATTAGGGTTCACATGAATCACTTCAAATTATTTTCAGACGGAATCACTGAATAATTTACAAATTATTTGATATATATACTATATGTACTTTTCATTTATTGGTATATCAGTAGGTATATAAGATTATTTCAATTTTTTTTCTTCATATTCTATAACACGATATTTTTTAATTTTCTTTAAGATTTGTCTGCCATTCCTTTGTGTTACCACGGTTTTTTGTGATTCTTTTACAAACGTTTCAAATACAAATCATACTGGACTCTATTATGAACATCATGGATTGCTCCGTCTTATAAATATAAAATGGACTTTAGTTACGTACGCCATCTTATCTTCGTATAATGGCCAGGTCGCTAGTATACCGCAGTATATTAACTCGACTAAAAAATTCTGTTCTTTTAATTTAGTTCACTCAACTACTATAAAAAATAGTAAATTATGTAGCCAATTACATCAAATCACTTCAGAGTTCACTAATAAATTACAAATTAAACGACAACGTCCGTTTAGTTTAATTGGAAGCTCTTCTAGAAGGCGAAAAGGGGTTTAGTAAATGGTATAAGTAATTTAGCAAAAGGATTGTTTGGTATTTGTTATAATACATACGCTGAGCAATATTCTAAACAAATAGAGTCTTTAGTATCTAGTTATACTAATACTTTAAATATTTTAAAAGATCAAACTCGTATTGTAAAAGCGCGTTTACAACACTTAGCACAAGAGTCCAATAGTTCACAAACGGTTAATGAAAAACTCAAGCATAATTTTTAATATTCAACAGATTAATAATGAAAAACACGGAAAAAAATAATGATCTTATTTCTAACACGTATTTATAATTTAATTCACTACTTTCCCAATATTCATTTGAAACGCAATCGCTGTATGATATGAATAACGAATAGGTCAAGTTCATTCATCTATTTATCTGTAAACGAGTTACACGAAAATTTAATAGAAATTAAATTAGCTTTACCAAAGAGAACTTACCTGTCGACATAGATAAAATTGAACCGTATAAATTATAAACATTAAGTGAGGTTAGTGTGTAACTCCACATTCCCTCAATGGGTCTCAAGTAGTCCAAAAGACCTTCTTATAATGAAAAAACAATCTCATAAATTATATAAAATACTAGGTTGTTATTATCGTTACTCTATTTTCTCCCAACTGTGCGCCCGATGTAAATCCGAATCTAAGCGTCTCTACAAAAATGATTTGCTTTATATGCAGGGGCGTTTACGCAAAATATCTAAATCATTTTGGGAATTTGTTCGGAGTAACCGAGGTATCAGTACAATACCAGATGAGGTTCATCTTGGTGAGATCAAGGCAACCGGTGACCAAGTTGCTACGATTTACTTCTAATGCTTTATCGGATGAGTTCACAAACCAACAATTTTCTTTCCTTTCTTCAAATTTATACCTATCTACTGAAGAGGTCAAAGAAGCGCTATGCTCCTTATCAAATACTCGTGGTACTGGCCCGGATAGCAATTCTGCCTTTCTACTGTACCGCTATCATTTCACTCTCAGTTTACCAGTCACTATAATTTTTAACAAGTGAAGGTATTTTTCCTTCTGTTTGAAAAATAAGTCGGGTTACGCCTATCTTAATGTCTGGGAATCCGACAGATGTTGCAAATTACAGACCCATGTTGGTAGCACTGATTTGTAGCAGGCCATGTTGGTATTGCTGGAAATGAGCGAGCTGAACCCCTTACATTTTCGACTAAATTCTATTCTCATTTCTTTCCTTTATAATCGCTGCTTTTGGTCTCTTTCCTACCACCGCAAATTATGACGTATCCCGTCGTAATCTATAGTTTAGAGGTTTTGACATTCCTTGTCATCTCATGGTTGCTTTCTGCTGTTTTGAAAACGGTCATAATCTGCTTCCTGGCTTCTTCTTTCTCATCCGTCTCAATTCCTCCTCCTTTTACTGCTATTTACATAATGAACTTGCTATAATTTGTAACTTTCCAATCTTTATTTTCATTGTCCTAATCTCTCTTCTAACATAAATAACTAATTTTTTAAACTTTTTCTTGATTTTTAGGCGATTAACAATCGAAATCTTTTACACTCGTTATGTTCCCAAAATAACCTCCATCATTGGATTTATTTTAGACGCTGGCATTTCTATTTATTAATTATAAATATTTATGAACTACTGTAATTTGATAATGGAAATATTGGCTAAAATTAAATAGTTATTTATATTATACATAATAAAACAAACACCTAAATCAATAAAATAATTTACAAACTTCATGCATTTGATTTAAAAGTTTTAACGGTTTCATCGATACTATTATATCCATTATAAATAATTTGATCTCATAAAGGAACATGTCGCTGAAGGACAACGAAGAATTTAAATTTGCTTTGAGAGACATCGTTAATAATTCTTTCAAGTTAGAGGACCAATTCGGTATGAAATAAATGTGCAAAGAGCCCTGAAAAGATTCGAATGTATGTATGTATATATTGCAGATAGAGTACGATGCACCGAGTGGGTGCACAAGTTGTCAATGCTGCCCGACGACAGTCTGGAAAATCTTAAAATTCGCAACGATTATATTCAGTATTTGCGCATAATGGTCCGAGCTGGCATCTTGCACGGGATATTTTCAGAAAGCCCGCCAGCTGTATTGTCTCCCTTTCCAGAAGCAATAGTAAGATTTCAAACAAATTGTTTTATGTAATGGCATATTTAATGAGACCTGTTTATTTGGAATTACCTATAACATGGTGGTTTGCGATTTCTATATAAAGAAGTATTACATTGACCTTATTAAGGAAATTTTTTTTGTTTATACTTTGACAAGAAATTAATTTGGAGTGACACAAATACCACAATAATATTTCCTATTAATTAGAAATTATTTTTAAAACCCCAAACATATTAATATATTTTAATATCAATGAGATATACAATTGTACATCTTACGTTTAGTATTTAAGTAGAATTAAAAACACAACGATAATATGATTTAACACAACACTATTAAACATAAAATATACTGTACAATAATAGATTATAATATACAAAACAGTTTTGTATCAACGTTACAGTTATACAGGATAATGGTACCCAACACCTAATACTAAAGCTCTTTTATATCTTAGAATCTAGGTCATATGCGAAGTTGATATTGTCACAAATCCTTCAATTGTTACACAATCGTTTCTGTAATATTCGCCCACTATTAAACATGTTATACTATTTTTTTTATATTTGCATACATAGATTCCATGAACAAAATTAATTATATTCAATAAATGTTTTTTCTAATGTCTTACAATTTTATTCCGATCTATACTTAATTCTTGAGATAGTGTCTTAGTTTCCACAAACCTAAAATAAAACGTTTTTCATTCGAAAAAACTGCGTGTGAAATTTGTAACAATAGTTGGAATGTTTCAAATAATTCATAATGTGTGGTTATATTAATATTTAATATGGAATTTATCAATTTTTTTTCAGGGAAAACACATGACAGCTCAAATACCTTCTTTGCCGCCTATGGGCCCGATTAACGTTTACATGAAACACTGGTCCCCAGACGGAAGAGCGTATGTGGCAATAAAACCTATACCGGGTAAAGGTGTTTTGACATATCTGTCTGTCACTCCGCAGCCAGATGGTTCACGAAACTGAAAATACCAACGCACTTTCAAAATTACATTAATATTGTAATTAACATATTCATCTGTATTATTAAAAATAAACAAAAAATATTTGATTGAAACTCGTTTAATTATTGTATTCCATAAACATATTCTACATTTCTATCTTCGTATATGCGAATACGGTTTTCTCTAAAACGAATCTGATCAGTCAGCAGATACCCATATACCATGATATAGTAATAGAATATACTTTAACCTTCATGCGCTCGCGCGGACGACAAATTGGCGTCCTTATAAATTTTCGCAAATATTATTGTGCAAAGTGCCAAGGAAACGGTGAGAAGGGTATGTATTCTCTAGTTATACATCCCTCCGATAGAATATGATCGAACTTGGTCAAACCAGTCCACCCCAGCAGTTCAGTATAGCCACAAACTCAGTAGTGTCAGTATGACGGCCAACTTGCCGTCCACGCGAGCGAAAACGAGAATTTTTACCTGTATTTTTTATACTTACGATCTGGATTTATATTATGAAAAAGGAGGCATATAGGAAAGGCAAGTGTCAATAGAAATTACAAGAACCTTTTACCACTACCTCAGTACTCTGAAGAACATTTTTCTCGAAAATTTAAAAGGACGGCCAATTTGCCGTCCATGCGAGCGAAAGAAGGATTTTCTATTATTTTTTAAATAAACATTTTTGGTCAACATTTTTTATGTTCCAATGTTGTTTTAGAGGTAATTGACTGTAAATATTTCGAAACATCCACCTTAAATAAAGAATAACTCACGAAAATAATAAAAAAATAAGGACGGCCAAATTGCCGTCCTCGCGAGCGGCAGTGTAACTTTAGGACGCGCGAGCGCATGAAGGTTAAATATTCTAAATATACTAGTTATCCAAACGCTTCAAGGAATATTTATACTTTGTCTTTCCGCCTCACGCATATACTTATATTTTTATAAACATACAAAACAAGATAGTATCGAAGATTATTCTTCAAATATATTGTAATGCCTAGTCAGGCAATGTTTGACTTGGTGAAGTGGAGGATCAGTTTGACAAGTCATTCCTCTTGATGTTATAGTCATGTTGAGTATATGTACTGTTAACGGCTGGTCAACAATATCAGTAAAAACAGCTGATATCATCTCACTGATTATTGTTGTTGCCGTCGTCCGCTTAATTACTGTTGTTGCTGTTCGCCTTCTACGCACCGCACAAGTACCGTGTACGCCAGAAAAAACTCCTGTTTTTTCTCGTTGTATTTTATGCAACTTAGCGCCACCATACGCTTCTTTTACGTTGTACTAAGTTGGTACACATAACTTTGGGTACCAAAAACATTGCCTTTCCGGCAATCAGCCAACTTCATCCGCTTGGTCTTTCAATCATAGTAGCTCGCTTGGTCTCTTCAACCATCTTCGCCCGCTTGGTTTCATTAGCCATCTTTGCCAGCTCGGTCTCTCCAACCATCATCGCTCGCTTGATTGCGTTAAATGCAAGGTCTCTTTCGTGAGCTGGTATTGTACATTTGTAAATAGTATTAGTTTTAATTAGCTGGTATAGTATCTACGATTGTCTTTTTTTTAGTATTAAGAACACTAACATTAGTTTTTTTTTAAGCATATTGTGCATACTTTATTGTGTTTAAAATATTATCGAACATTTAGATAAATAAATATCGTTTTTCTTTCTTAAATTTAACAAAGCATCTTGATTACTAGGTATCCCCGTCTTTCCATTTCCTTGTGTACTTAAACTGGTCTGGTAATATAATTCAAGAGGTTTAATACACATCAGTCTAATTGGGCGAAAATAGTGAAACTCATTAATTAGTGAGTAGGGCTCAAATACTTAGGTATATGACTTAGATATGTTAAAGACATCGTTTAATTTGTAATTATGCTTATTTAGAAAACGTAGATATTAAAATATTATTAAAACTTGAATGGGGTATTATATATCTTATTCTCGGAGAGAACCGGAAATACATCAAGAAACTATTGATAACAAAAATGAAAATCAGTCATGCGGTAGCAGGCCAATGCGAAGGGGTGTGGCCAAACTAAATAGCTGACAGCGGCTGGAAGAGACTACGGGCGCCCACCAAAGTATAGGCTTATAGCGTGGCGAGTGTTGTAGCAAGTAACGTGCATCTAGCATGCGACTTTGATTAAAACAATGTAAACATATGGATTAACGCCGACTACACTGATGTGGCAGTGTTACCACAAGTTTCACGCTACGTCACTGTCATTTGATTGCAACATGCTCCATTTTTTGTCACGAGCTAGATCGATTATCAGTAAATTCTACATACCTAGTAGTTTATTCTGCACATAAATAATTACTGTACAAAATAATTAATATGAAAGACGACCCGGATTTTAACATAAAGTTTGTGGCTATGATTGAAACAAGTCCGTGCATATATGACCACACAAAAGCAGATCATAGCAATAAACAAATAGTTGACAGAGCTTGGGAAATGATTGCTAAGCAACTATCAGCAACAGGTAAGTAATATATAATGTTATACTGGGTCAATACAATACTAAATATAATTTATAATTATTATTAACATTCTATTTTTGTATTAGAACTAATACATAACATATTTGTGGTAAACAATTTGGTGTTTTATACAATATAGTTGTTTAAAATCATGTTTTAATAGGGTATAAATAAAACTCGTAAAATAGTATACCATTTATAATAAATTTAAATATTATATATATGATTTCTTTCTATCAATAATTAATTTACCAAGACATGAAATATTTATTTGACTGTTTACTTAAAATTTATATTTAAAAATGATAAATTTATATTATTATTTTTTTTAATGTTTTCTATTTAAACATAATAATGTATGACAATTTAAAGTTAATACAATTAATTTGAAATTACTTATGGTAAATACAAACACTTTTAGTTAGTAAAAAAAATTATATGATTATTACTCAATACTAGGCTTTGAAAAAAAATTACACAAACGATTTCTTAAGTTAATTGCATTATTCGTTGGTCTTTGGTTATTTCCATGATTATAGTTTTGACTAAGTTGGTCATCGTTTAAATAATGGTTTTCTTCTTGCTCCATAACTGGTTCCGAAAATATCCCATCATGAATACGTACGAAATTATGTAGTACGCAAAGAGCCTGGACAATACAATCCACTTTTTGCACATCACAATGGATAGGTGTTTCCAAAAGTTTAAACTTTGAGGCTAACATATCAAAAGAACACTCTACTGATTTTCGACCTCTTGAAATTCTATAATTAAATATTCTTCTTTCATTTGTTAATTGTCTGCGAGGATATGGTCTCATTATATGATTAGTTAAGGGAAATGCTTCATCAACTGTAAAATAATATGGGAAAACATCGTCTTCGTAAGGCAAAGGAATAGGTTCTGGAAGATTAAGCTGTTCACTAAATAATGCTTTTCCAAAAACACTTTCTTTTAGTGCTATTCCATCACTATTTCTTCCATACTCACCAATGTCAACTGATAAAAATAATCCATCTGCATCTGATACAGCCATTAAAATTATGGAAAAGTATCCCTTGTAGTTAAAAAACGATGATCCAGAATTTGGAGGCGCTTTAATTTTGATATGTTTCCCATCAATACTCCCCACGCAATTAGGTAAATTCTACAGTTCCCAATAACGATTGGCCACTTTTAACCAATGCTCTTTTGTAGGGGTTGGCATGTATTCAGGTTGCAAATTTTCCCAAATTGCTTGTGACTTTTCAAATACAATTCTTCTAATTGTAGTATGACCTCTCAGAAAATAAAAAGACAGAGCTTTGAAAGAGCATCCTGTTGCAAAATATCTGAAAATAAGTATATACGTAAATTCGTCTATACGTTTTAAGTTAATAAATGAAATATAAATTATGATATTTAATTAGTTAGGTAATCTTTTATTACCCTATTTTGTTGGCTTCCTTATTAATTGATTTTATTTTTTAATGTGTTACCCTTTAATTAAAGTTATATCATGAGTAATTATAATCATTTTTTATTTTAATCATATAATTTTACCATTACAGTATCGGATTGTAAAGAACGATGGAAAAACTTAAGAGGTTCTTATACCCGCCATTTAAAGTCAGCCATTGGACCTTCTGGTGCTGCTACAAAACCCAAGAAGCCTTACTACCTCGCAGAATACATGCACTTTTTACATCCATTTACCAAGTCTCGCCAGTCAGTGTCATCCATGAGTAACGATTATAACTTTTCTTGCTCACAAAAGTCCATTAGTCCCTCTGAAGGGTCTAATAATGAAGAAAATAGTGTGTCTAATGTATTCGAAGACGAAATAACATTAAATCAACATGAAGACAACACATCGTCTGATGAGTTACCTCCTCACCCACCAAATAAAAAACTAAAAGTGTCGAAACAAGATGTATCTCTTTCTGACGTAAATAAATCAGCTTATGATTATTTTCAATCTAAAAAAAATAAAACTGGAACTTCCGAAAAAGCTCCTCAAGACCCTGACGTATCATTTCTTATGAGTCTTCTGCCAGACATGAAAGATATGAATAAGGACCAAAAGAGGCGATATAAAATTGGAATTTTAAATATGGCTATGAACATATTGAATGAGAAAAATGTAGACACAACAACGACGTCCAACAATTCTACGCCATTGATTAATCTAGATCATCAACAACAACGTCCTGTCTACGAGCTACTGCCCCCTTTTAACCAACTAAATATTCCATTCCCAATTTATCCCAATGAAGAACAACAAGGTTCAATATTATTGGGACAAACAAGTTTTTTAACAAAGCAAAGTGACATAGAGTTTCCAAGAAGAAAGTAGGTGATTAATAACTTCGACAACATTTTGAAAGTAAAGTAACTTTTAAGTAATTTTAAAAATTAATAAACTATGTACTGAATAATAATAATATTAATATTAATTTTAAGCATTATAAAAGTATTAAACTGTTATTTTTATACGATACTATTATGTTTATATTTTTATTAAGGAGAATGTAATACTGATTTTTTGTTTTGTGTATATTTTATTAAAGTTTTTAAGCTATAATTAGTATTAAGTTATATATAATTACTTACCTCAAAGTTATTAAAAGACGTTCTTCAGGGAGGACTGACTCTCTGAAGTTTGTATCTTGTTTTCTGATAGATGGTCCCACTTTTAGTAGTAACAAGTTAAAAGTATTGCTACTCATCCTGTAAAATGATTGGAATCGCTCTGGGTATTCATGTAGCTCTTTAAATACATCAAAAGCCCCACGTTTATTTTTTTATTTTTTTGCCAGTAGGGATGCACCCAATATCTTCTTTGTTGACAACTTGCATTATTTATATTAATTAAATTCACTAATTGGAGAGCACATTCATCGTCTGACGAAGAAGACATTTGACAACTACTAGTTTGCCATGTTACTTTGGTAAGCGTTGAGCGACACATGTGTTACGCTACTGCTACGTGTTTGCTACTTTACTCGCCACGCTATATGCCATGTTACTTTGGTGGGCGCCCGGCCTAAGGCTCTATATATGAGAGTATACGCATCCGCCATTTTGGTTGCAAGATATACTGTTATCTATCAACACAAAATACCGCCAATTGAATTTTTTATTGTAAGAATTGATTTGGGTGTAAAGTTTTGTTTAATTTGTAATTTGTTTTTTTTTAAATGTCGTGTTGTGCTGTAGACTGTACGAATCGTAGTACTCAAGGGTACCGTATGTTCAGATTTCCAGCTCAACCCCAACGTAGAAAAGTATGGATAAATAACACCAGACAAGGAGGGCAGTGGAAACTACAGATTCTGCTCGTTTGTGTGAAGTAAGTGTTTTTTAAAGTTTTATAATTTTTAGTCATCCAGACTTTCAATCTTATAAAGTACTTGGAAATGTGTATACTTTGTCTTTTACCATGGTAAAATATTAATTTTTTTAGATGCCTAATTTTACATCAAATTCTGGAAATGAAATTAATGATAATACAAATCATAATGAAAACTTAACTAACAATGAGAACACAATTAACAACGAGAACTCAATTCACAATGAGAACTCAATTCACAATAAATGTATTGAGCCATTGCAGTCTGTAAGTATAAATCAATTATCAGGCTTGAAGGATTAAATATTGGTTTTGTTGATTTTATTATACCAAATTTAAGTAATTTTTTACTATAAATTTCAGTATTTTTTTATGATTAGTTTAATTTTATTTCCTATGTTTGTTGTATGAAAATTATTGTAATTAATTGAGGGTATCATATAAAAATTAAGCTTCTTTTTATTTATCAGTAATATGATATGTAAAAATATATATAGTTAGAAGTTTATAAATATAATATTGTATCTTGGAAGTTCATAAAGTTATTAAAATCGAACTTTAATTGAAGTTTAATTATAATTTCAAAAATTGTAACATTTAAAATATAGTAATTTATTGAAATTTGTATTTATAGTCTTCCTTGAAAAAAATTAAAAAAAGAAAATGAACGTTTAAAGAGATCAAATGAACAAATTAAGTTTAAAACAATTTATGTGCATTAAAATGTAATTATAACGCTTCTGTTGATATAAATGTAAGTTCTAGCTACTATGATTCGAGGTATACTAACTATGATTCTTATTTTAAAACATAAAGTAAATTAATTGAAAAATTAATAAATTGTAGTCGTTATACCTCTTTTATTTTAGTCTTGGGTTTCCGATATCCAACAGGTTTAACAGTACTTTTCCTTGACATTTTGTTTTTGTTCATGACAATTATTACAATAAAACTACACTTACAACAATTGTGGTTGAATTTATAAATTAAATTCTCATAAAAACTGTAGCACAAAATAGTTTTAATACAAATAAGTTAATAAATGATAATATTGATAATATCATTATTACGACTTGTTGCAACCAAAATGGCGGATGCGTATACCTGCTTATTTAGATCTCTAGAAGAGACGGAGACTGCAGCGGGTGGATTGGTATATAACTTACACCCGCGGAAGCGAAGCGCTCAGCCTACATGAGAACGCGGTACGAGCAACATCGAACCAGAGCTCTGAAGATGGAACATGCAACTGTTTTGAAACGTTGGCGAACCGGTCAAGATAATCACATAGGAGTAACCGCAAGGCGTGTAAATAGTGTAAAGGCAGATATTATTTATTTAATTATAAATATGTACTAACCAGACCGAACAACAGCAGCAACCTCCTTCATTCCATGGTGCAGCATCACCTTCGTGGGCAACAGCTGCTGCAGTCGTTTGGGGCGACCATACCCAGCTCGACTTTAACGCCGAACCTAGTACTCACAGCTCCCCAAAGCGAGCTACAGAAGCACCCCGCTTTGTGGGCGGCCTTCACCCGTGGGTGGCAAGCCTGCATGACAAGCGTCCCGGCACCACCTCCACTGATCAATCAGCCGCCAGGGCGACCTACGGTACGTCAGCCCACGCCCTACGCTGGCAGGTCAACGTGGCCACAAACCGCGCCACGCCACAAGACGCCTAAGGGCGCATCCAACTTTTCGGTAACACCACCCAACTCCGCCCCGTCCAGAACACTGGAGCTGTGTCCACGGCGAACCAGTCTGCCGGAACTTCGACCACGGTCAGCACTGAACTGGACAGCAACACGGTATCGGCGAGACGGAAGAGGATGATCCGTCTCAACGAGTACCGAAAGGCGATGAGGAAGGTGAAGCGGGAAGAAATGAGTCGAATATCCCAGCAACACCGGTTGAAAAAACCGACGCCACTGACCGACCCAGGGAAGACCTCGGCGAAGAGGAAACAATCCCCACACCGAGGACACATGCCCCGGTAACAACAACGGCAGAGGAGGAAGAGGATGCAGCGATGGACGTCACCGTCGATGGTCAACTTGACCATACGATCGAGGAAATCGATATCTTCCTCCAACCACCGTCAGACACCACCTCCTAACTCCTTTCCTTTCCCTGTCCGCTCCTTCTCAGTTCTACTACGCCCGCCTTTGACCACCAGGTCACCAGTGCGATGCGAGTGCTCTGATGGCCCGCTTGCCTGAAAAGGTTTCAGCGATGTCCAGGGCCGTATTACCGCTTAGGCTGTGTAGGCTAAAGCCTAGGGCGGCAAATTTGAAGGCGGCAAATTTTTTTTGGTGTGACCCAAAAACTACGTTGAGATATTATTTTTAAATATAAATTATAAAAACATGCAATAATATAATATATGAAATAATATTATTAGTTATAAAGTATAAGAAAATGTATGTGTAGGTTCTAAAATGGTATGCAGTGTGTAACAGAAATATATGACAAATTACAATATATATATATATATTACAATAGTCGACCGGGCGGAAATTCGTTGCGGTAACAGCACGGCGAATAGGCCGCGGAATTGAACGTATTATTTTATTATATTAATAGTAAATCGTAAAGGAAAGAAGCATTAAAACCCGTATCCCATAATAATAATTATTATTATAGTAGATAATGTACAATGTGGGGAAATTTCTGCGATAAGCGATGACGCCTCAAATATTATATCTAAATTATAAGATACTCGTACTAGGTTTATTATTTTGTTATACACCACGCCGTAACGAAATTGACTGGTCGTTCATTTGCATTTGTTATAAAGCAGCGATTTCTTAAGCCTTAAGGTATGTACTTTATTGTATCAATTAATTATTTTATTTTAACAATAAATTAGTGTAACAAATTTAAAACGAAATGTCTTAATATACGTTAAAGTTTATGTAGGTTTTGTCATTAATTAGCGTTTTACCATAAAATAGTACGAGTTATACATTTTATCAATTCTTAAATATCAATACGAAATCGCAAATTTAATATAAAATACTATCATTATTATTCTATTATTATTTATTAAACATACTAATTTAATATCAAATGATATACTATTATAGATCAACCTGTCTATAAAAATGAAACGTTCTAAGTTAAGTGGAGGCAAATATAGCAAATTGGCCAAGGAAAAATTGGAAAAACAAAGATTGGCTTTAGAAAATGTCCCGAAAATTAATACACTATTTAGTAAGGAAGTAATTACGTCAGTAAGTGTAAGTCCAAAAATATCTTCTAGTGTCATAGATTCCGGGGATATTGAAACAGTACAGAATGTAAATGAAAAAAAAAAATACTTATTTTAATGACAGTACAGAGATAGAGTTACAAAATAAAATTAAAACAAGTATTTTTAGTAAAGATCCTTCTCAATGGATACGAATAGCCGATTTTATTCACTTTGTGGCATCACACGGTGTTGATCAAAATATGAACTCAGACTTTTCAAACTCCAAACGGATATATTCTGACCAAAGTAGATATTTAACTAAATCTATGTTCTATAGAATATTATCAAACAATGAAAAATTCTTAGAACGTGGTTAGTTTACTCAGAAATTAAAGGGACTGTAATTTGCGCACCTTGTTGGTTATTTCGTGACGACTGATCTACTACAGGTTTTAATGACTGGAAAAACGCTTGTTCGAGGTTAAAATAACATGAAAATTCTATAAATCATAAAAACTGTTTGATTCAAATACAAGACATCAATCAAACTAAGGAAAGAGTAGATTCGAGATTAATGAATCAAATTGATGGGGAAAAAAACTATTGGAAAAATATTTTATTGCGAATTGTTGCCGTAGTTAAATCACTTGCCTTACGGGGACTCCCTTTTCGGGGTGACAACGAGTTAATTGGTTCTTCGAAAAATGGAAATTTTCTTATGTCATTAGAATTAATATCTGAATTCGATCCATTTTTGGCCCAACATATTAATAAACATGGTAATGCCGGTAGAGGATCAACATCATATTTATCATCAACGGTTTTTGAAGAAGTAATTTCTATAATGGCGGAAAAAGTAAACAAATATTCTGTTGATGAAATTAAACGCAGAAAATACTTTTCCATTATAGTTGATTCAACTCCTGACATTACGCACATTGATCAGCTTTCCTTTATTGTGAGATATGTAAATGACCAAGGTCTACCAGTTGAACGATTTCTTGAATTTATACCAAAAGCGGGTCATAAGTCTGCAGAGTTATTTTATGTAGTCAATGATCTCATAAAACGTTACAGTTTGGATTGGTCCAACTGTAGGGGACAATCATATGACAACGCTAATAATATGTCCGGCAGTTATTCAGGTCTCCAAGCACGAGTTAAAGAAATAAATAATTTAATATATTTTGTTCTATGTGCGGCACATTCGCTAAATTTAGTTGGAACGCACGCTGTAAATAGTTCAAAAGAAGCAGTTAAATATTTTGGATTAATGCAACATTTGTTTACGTTCTTTACTATTTCAACTCATCGTTGGGAAATACTCAGTAATAGTTTGAAACCGGGAACTCATACGTTGAAACATCCATCATTTACAAGATGGTCATCAAGAGATGCAGCTTGTTTGAGTATTAATGAAAATTGGTCTGAAATTATCAATGCCTTAACATATATAATGAATGCTACTACAGAAAATAATATGACTCGAAACGAATCACAAGGACTATTGAATAAACTCGAATCATTAGAGACTTGCTTTATGTCTATATTATGGGGTTTTCTATTGAACAGATTAAATGTAGTTAGTGAGAAGTTACAAAAAGTTGAAATAGATTGTGGTCTCGTGGTTGAGCTTTACGATTCTTTAATTCAACTTATTACAAATACTCGTGAAAATTTTGATGAATTTGAAAGAAAAGCAATTGAAAAATCTGTTACAAAAGAATATAAAGATTTAAAAACTCGTAAAAAAATTAAATCAATTTTTTATGATGAAACTCGACATAATGATTTAATTACTTCTGGAAGAGAAAAATTTAAAATTTATACCTTTTTAGTAATTTTAGATCATTTATTGAATGAACTTAACAAGAGAAGACCTGCGTATCAAACATTTTTTTTTCCATTTGCTTTTATTGTCATGCTCGAACGTCTATCACATGATGATATTGTTAAAGGAGCTACACAACTTAATGAAATATACTATGATGATATGGATTTAAATGAATTAATCAATGAATGTTTACATTTAAAAGCACACATAATACAACTGGCTGACGATAAGCAAAACAATATTCCCAAACTTCTTTAAATTTTACTTGAAAAAAACTTAATTTCAATATATCCCAACATCGAAATAGCACTCAGAATATATACATCTACTGCGGTGACTAACTGTTCAGCTGAACGTTCTTTTTCTTGCTTGAAAAGAATAAAAAATTATCTCCGATCTACGATGTCACAGGATCGATTAAATGCACTTGCTATACTAAGTATTGAACATGAATTAACTAATCAGTTATCATATGACGACATCATTGAAGACTTTGCGAAAAAAAAATCAAGACGTAAGACTATAATCTGAAGAATATGAAAAATAATTATTTGTTCGTATTTTTTTTTTGTAATATGCTTAAGGAGTTTTCATTCATTAATAATAGTATACCTAATGTATTGATTTTATGTTTTTATTTTATTAATGATCATTTTTTATATGGGGTGTGGAGAGTTTTTACGTATCACTTACAGAAGTAAAATATCAATACCTATGAAAATTAGGCGGTAAATTTATTTCAGCCTATGGGCGGCAAAAACCTTAATCCTGCCCTGGCGATGTCACTCGAGGAGATGTGAAAGACAGGGAGGAACAGACACCGATTAAGTTCACCGGTTGGACCGTTTAGTGAGGGAGGGTTGACACGGCCTGCAAGTGCATGTTTCTGTCATTAGCGATTAAATGTGCGCCCGGTCGTGTTATCAACTGTCCACCATCTCACCGCAGGTGGGAACGATAAACTACTATATCGGCCCGAGCCGGCCGTCGGTGTATGAAGAGGTCCGGGGGGTGTCATTTTTACAGCGAAACACGGCGGCGATGACCACTGTAGGCGATCCGATAATCAGTTATTGATTTAACATTGATCCGCGACTGCCATTCGCCGCCGTCCCGCGTATTCACGTATTAAATTTCCACATTGTTTTCTAAGTTAATAAAAAAAAACCTTAACCTTTTGATTCGGTTTTTTATGTTTACTTCAACCCCCCTTTCTACCGTGTCATACTGTTAAAAAAGTAACTTCAAAGTTAAGAATAAATTTACCGCTAATGAATGCTGAAAGCTAAAGATAAAGTGTCGCGGTCGGCTGTCCGCGCTCAAAAATAGACAGGGTTTCCCTGAACTATTTTTACCGCGGGCCGTAGCCGGCCGCGTCTGCTTTCCGTCCGGTCGGTCGGACTAACGGCCGGGGGTTCCCTAATAACCCTTATCAGTCCATCGGATGGTATAAAACATCACCCGATGGGCTGACCGGCCGTCATTCGTGTCCATCGTCAATTTCTCGTTTAGTTAGAAAAAGTGTGTTTTATTTATACATCCTTTTCTCCCGCTCAGCTAAGGGCTGTATCATTGGCGCAGTCGGTAGGATAAAGGACAGCGAAGATAATAAGGTAAGTGGACTTTTTGTACTTAAGTGACATACCCCTATCGCTGGTAACCTAGTGTAGTAAGACCCATCCGCGGCAGACTTGCGCGCTTGTTTATTAGGGTATTACTATTAGATTTGGGTAGTAACTACTTTTGTTTGTCTTTCGTGTTATTAGAGTGTAGTAAGACCCACCAGTGGCAGACTTACGCACTCTGACAAAAATCTGTAGTACCACACTAGTAGTAAGAAAAGAGTGAACTGGGTAACAAAAACCAAGTTCTCCAAAAAATCGTTAAATAAAAAATTTTTTTTTAACGAGATAACGGACCCGAGAAAAAAAAACTAAATGGCAGGAAAAACTCTCCTAGAACTCAATATTTCTGAGTTAAAACGCGAGTTAGGGAACCGGGGGCTACCCACCCGAGGTACGAAACCCGAACTAATTTTAGCGTTGAAAGAGGCTCTGAGACGGAATCATCCCAACAGAGTCCCGGTTTGAGCCATTGATCACGGGGGACAACCCCAGTGGGAACACCTCACGAACTTCCATCAACAAGGAGGAGATAGAGCAGGGAACGGGGGAACCCCAACAACTCACGGGTAGGGCAGCAGCGGAAATTGCCCGGTTAGAAGCCCAAATGGCCGAACTTCAGGCTGCTCTAGCACAAATAATGGTAACACCCCGAATGCTGAACTCAACCTCCGTAGGTGCGAACATCCCACCCGATAACATCGGCCTAGACGGGGTAAATTCGGGTGAGCCGGAAGTAAACGCCTTCACGACGGGCTTGAACCGTCAAGATACCGATTTCACCGGGCGAAACGAATTGTACCCGGGTGAAACGTGGGTGAACCAGACAGTAGTCCGATTGAACCGCCAAAATCCCGATTTTATCGGGCGAAACGAATTTTACCCGGGCGAACCGGAAGTAGACCTCCCCACGACGGGCTCGAACCGTCAGAATCCCGATTTTACCGGCCGAAACGAATTTTACCCGGGTGAAACGAGGGTGAACCAGACGGTGACCCGATTGAAACGGGTTTTAATGCTATTAAAAACTGCATACCAGTGCATAATCTGTTATTTAATCAGCTGTCAATTAAATGTCTTAAAACAATTATTATTTTATAATGAATTGTATATTTAATACAATTTGAAATTTCATTTATGCCTGCCGAATTTTGATATCCTTCAACATATATTTTGCCAATCTATAGTAGTACTTATTATAATATTAATTATTTTACCTATGAATGCTTTGTTTATTACAGGCTTTTTAGTTAAAAAATATGCTTAAGAATTTTCAATATTAGAAATTATTTTTTTAATCATGTTTTGTTGTTATACATTTTGTTTGTTAGTTACTTAACTGTGAACAATAAACAAGTGTTTGAATAAAACACACTCATAACAATTATTAGTGAAATACGCAATTGTCCAATATTTCGTTTAGTTTTTAAATTATTCACTGATATAATAGTATTATTATTACACAACTTCAAATTAGTTCTTGTGCAACTATTTCTAAAATGATCAAAAAGGCTTTTATTAAGGTAATTAATACAATCATAATGTTGTAGGATACAATTTTAATAATGGCATTCGTATAATTAGTCAGAAGAACCATTCGAGCTCATTCGACAAGATCACAGGAGGCGACAGTTAGCAGTGTGGGAAAACGTTATGAAAAAACCAGTCGATTTAAATCAGTCACAAATATATGAAAAAGAAAAATTACAAATGTTCATGGCCGTCAACAATTTTATCACTCGGTTGTCTATCGAAAAAGAGCGCATGATTAATTCTAGTAACCATTCGAAAATATTAGTATACAATAATTAATATGTATATTTTAGCAATTGTAAGATAGACAACCAGCTTTATTATTTAACCTAAATTCGTTCGATTGAACCTAAGTGTTCTTTTTTACAAATAGTTAAATCACATTTAGTCATAATAATTAATGCAAATTTATGACTCCGCGAGTAGTAATAAAGAATAGTGAGGTTATTACTGTGGAGTTTTTTTTATAATAGGACACTTAGTCTTGAGGGAAACGTTTTTTCAAAATATACTTTTATCTTAATTATTAAGTTATTGTTTTTCGCCTTATCCCATATAAGTGTTACTTCGATTTAAAATCCTATTATCATATTATCCGTTATTGACTCTCCACACAACCATCTTAATATTCTATATTTAAACTTATTTAATTTCTCTTTTATTACCTACTCTAGTGCAATGTCCAACATTCACTTCAATGCGCCATTTCTGGCCTCACTTTAGTTTCAAAAAAGTTTTATTTTTACTCTTAATGACATTTCTTTGTTACATACCTACCTGTTCCATCTTTTCACCTCACCCAATCACGTTTAGTTTTACTCGTCACATTTTCTTCGACTCTTCCGCGATCTAGCATAAAGCTCGTCTTAAATAATTACTATTTCTACTCCATTTACCATTTGCTTCCAAGTACAACACAATATACTGTTTCTTCTGTCTCCTTCTAAATTGTCCTCACTACTAAGCTTTAACCGTAAGTAATCAGTTCTAAAGTCTGTAAATCTTAAGTGTGGAAGTCCTGTTTTCCTTAAGTCATTTATTTTAATGTCATCACCTTCCCTTTTTAGCACGTATCTTAAACTTCTAACACTTCTGTAGACTTTTTGATATCCATAAAGTCAGTTGGGCATACGACCTGTTGTGCGCGGTCTAGTTTACTGTTGTCGGTCTAGGCGATCTAAGTGCTTCTGAGTTTCTATTTATTCAAATTTATATTTTCTATGCGATTGTTTTATTGTAAACCTGTCTTTTATAGACTATTAGTGTAGGTATATTATAAAAACTGTGTTATGTTTATTATAATACATAGCTAACATGTTGGTTAGATTCCCTCCTAAAATGTCTAATGACGTGAATTAGTTTAATTATTACAATGGTTAACAATTCAAAAGACTAATGTCGTATTATGCATATGTATTAATTTTAGTGTTATCACCGGTGATGTTAGAAAATAAGATCAATGAATGTAAGGTCGATTTAAAGTCAGCATACGAAATGATAACGCGGCTGATACATTTACTGAATATTGAAAAATCGGCTCTCGCGTCGGAAATTGATTTGATGAACGAGAAGTACCGTAGGTTATGACTTATGTAATGTTACGGTTATATCGTTTATACAAATAATTTTGGATTAATCGTTTAATTAACTTAAGATTCTTTTTATATAGCCATAAAAAATTAATGTTTACTTATATACATTTTGTTTTTCAGACACTGATAGTTATAGAATGAAAGTGCATCGTAATAAAATCGTAAACAGCCAAAAGAATAAAGTGAATTGGATTAAAGATTCTATTGATTCGATTATTGACAGATACAACGATATTGGAAGATACTTGGACGTGCCAGAAGATTTATTGTTTCCACAGCCTGAGAAAAAAGCGGCCCCGTTTAAATTAAACTTTTTATTTAAACACAGAGTACAAGAAATAGTAAGTTCTCGAAATTATCAAACGGAAAATTAATACATAAATGAATGCAAAATTATTACATGTAATTGTTGTGCCCATGGTGATGTTAAGGAACGAGAACAAAAATTCAAAGAAACGGAACTTATTTTGGCGGACTTGAGATCACCAATGGATATACTTCAGAGTAGAATTATCGATCCCGGAATAACACCGATTTATCGGTTATTAACCACGGACATGTCCAGGCGACAAATTATTTACAATTATTCTTGTACATTGTTTGGGATGTATGGTATGCTTTGTTTTTCATTGGTTTATACCATAGATATAATATTCCAAAACCTAGGTACAGATCACTTAAACATAAGCTAACAGATATCGCAGATTTTGACTTGAAAAGGATTAATGTATTTAAGGTAACTACCTAACGAGACAGCCCACATTAACTGTAATTAACTGAACCGTGGTAAATTTTGAAGAATGTGTAAGAAATCAATGAAGTAATTTTATTTAGAATCGTTTTTATTGTTCTAATATTCCAAAAGTCTATTGATGTTTTAAAAAGTTATAGTTATAAAGGAGTAATTTCTTTGGTATTCAAATGTTAAAGCGGTCTTAGAATTTAGTGCCAAACACAGAAATTATTTGTTGTTTGTCCTTTAATTTTGCAGATCAAGTAAGGTGCCAATAAATGCTTAAAATTCAGGTAAGTTACTTGAGATGCTTGAGAAAGTTTAGTTGCTTCAGAATTTAATTGGGTAGTATGTAAGTATTGTGTAAGAATTTTGTTTTGTTCATTTTGATTTACCAGTTCATGAGCGAATTTCATAAGAAGTTGAGGTGATTTAGATTGTGTTGACATAACAGTGTTCTTTGCTTGCGCATTATTGTCTGAATTAAATGTCATTCGAAGTTTTGGATGGGTGGTTCTACAGCTAACAACGAATTTTAGTGAAATATATGTATATATTAGCCAAATTAGATTTTCCAGCTCGAGTAGTTTTATACAATTTATAATTATGCTTTGGAATGATCCATTAAGTAACTTTGAAAATATTAACTTTGCAGTCGAGGGAACAGGTTTTTCTAAGCTCAAAGCAAAAGAAAACGCGGCCACGGAAATGTTGCGGGCTATACTGAAGAAACAATCTGTCAGCACGCTTTCGTCTCATATCAAAACATTTACAGAGAGAGAGTAAATATTTTGAATTGTATCTAAAACTCAATCATGGCTGTATATACAGACACATAAATAATATTTACTCAAGGTTACGGGATCTCAACCCGTTGTTACAATCCAAAATGAACTACGTGGACACTTTGGAAAAAACTTGTGAGATCAATCATTTTCCGCCGCCTAAGTACACGTTGTTAAGTCGCACTAAAAACAATTCTAAACTCGAGATTAACTATTCGGTTCAGTGCGAAGCTATGGACTTTGTGGCAATCGGTACAATTTACGATATACATTATTATAGCTACATTTTTTTCAACTTATATTTTTTAGGACATAGCAACAAACGTGCGACGGCCAAACAGACGGCTGCTCAAAACATTATCGAGTTGTGGGAGAAAATGAAGGAGAAGAATTCCAAGAAAATTTAACAGATTTTTCTTCTTTTAATAACTTTATTTTTAAGAACTAGTTAAAATAAAGTTGAATATTCAAAATGTTCTAGTACCTTATAGTAATATATTTAAAACTTCTCCATCTATTGTTTTTAAATAACCAGCCAAATACCCATTATTGTGGGCTTTTTCCTATAGTTGGAGTGAAACCCCATGCGCGAAATGCAAAAACAATTTTAGAATGTTGACTATTTTTTCCTGAGCACGCCATTCAAGAAATTGTTACATGTACTAACATAAACTTGGCAAAAATTAGATTGAACTATGAGAGAGAATGAGATGTTTTAGATACAAGTGTAGAAGAATTGCGTGCCATGTTGGGTCTTTTGTACATAGCTGGTATGATGCGAAGTTATCATCTAAATTTATCGTACCTTTGGTCAAATGATGGGTTCTCGCCAGATTATTTCAGGGCAGTTATGCTTAAAACACGTTTTTATTTATTATTACTAGCACTAAGGTTTGATAATATAAATACTCGCAATGGACGAACCAAATTTGATAAACTGGCACCAATCCAAACTATTTTTGATGAATTTGTAGATCGTTGTAAGCTAAATTATACTGTGGGGGAATATTGTACTATTGACGAAAAGCTGGAAGGTTTCAGAGGGAGATGTAATTTTCGTCAATATATTCCTAACAAGCCCAACAAGTATGGCATAAAAATATTTTGACTTGTAGATTCCAGTGTATTTTATACAGCAAATATGGAGGTTTATGTAGGAAAACAACCAAATAGTCCATATAACCAAGATAATAGTGCTTCAAGTATAGTCAAAAGAATGATTGCTCCAATTTCAAAGACGGGTAGGAACATAACGATAGATAATTGGTTTACGTCTGTTTCGTTTGTTTTGGATCTTCTAAAAAATCATAAAACCACTATGGTTGGGACGATTAGAGAAAAAAAAGAGAAATACCTCCTCAATTTTTGGACACTAAGCAACGAGAAGTAAATAGTAGTAATACATTTGGATATGGTAAAGAGTGTTTGTTAGTATCATATGTACCAAAAAAGAATAAAAATGTACTTATGTTGTCAACCATGCATAATCAAGGTGATATTGACGTAGAGAGCAGAGAACAACGTAAGCCCGAAGTGATTACTTTTTATAATTTTACCAAAGAAGGTGTCGACGTAGTAGATGAGCTAAAAGTCGAATATTCCGTAGCAAGAATAAGTTGCAGATGGCCCTTGACCATATTTTTTGATCTTATTAATATAGCTGGTATAAACAGCCAAATTATTTATAAAGCTAACAGGGATACTACTATAAGTAGGCGTCAATATTTAAAATCTCTCGGACAAGATTTATGTAGACCATTTATGGTACAATGACTCAGTTCTAAAAATTTGCCTTTTGACCTACTTATTTAATAATAAATCGTTTCATCGGTCAAGTCTCAACGCCAACTCAAGAGGACCCGAGACCTTCAGAAAGAGTTAAATGCACTTTTTGCCCTGCGAGAAAAAATCGTTATACAGTGGTAAATAGTAGCCCGACTGATAATCAAATAATTATAATAACAATGATTTTATGTTTTGTAGGTAAAATGTGCAAGGTGCTCTGTGCCACTTTGTAAAGAACACACATTAGCTCTACGTGTAGTACATGTAACAAAGATTTAAAACTCAATAATCAGTTTGTAGAAGTTTGTTTGATTTCTATGATTAGTTTGTATAGGTAGTTATCTATAAATTAGACGTAAGTATAATTATTATATTTAAAAAATTAAAATGATTAGTTGAATACTAAAGTAATGGTTTTTTCAAGAAAACAGTAAAATTTTTAGTTTGTATAAGTTTTTTTGATTTGTATGATCAGTTTATAAAAGTTCCTATACAATTATAATTTTAATGATAAACCTTTTTGTTTTTCAAAAATTAAAACTATTGATTAAATAATAAAGTAATGCTTTTTACCGAAAAAATTAATTATTTACATTTTTGTCAACTAATAACATATAAAATTGTTTATGTATGATAGTTTATTAATTACGGAATTAACTATAACTAAAACTAAATGTATTTAAATGTATTTGCTCCTAAATAATACATTTGTTATAAAATAAATCAGGTGAGCGAATCGCTCAACACGCGAGTAATGGTGTTCTGATTAAAAGTGTGCGAGTCACGACGGGTTAATAATTTCATTTTTTTTTCCATAATGTTTTTATACAATGTGATCTCAATTTCTCACAATTTTTTTGTTTTTACTCCCCTCCTAACTTTATTTTATTGATAGCAACTTATGAAACTTAAATGGTAAAGCATACATTTCGTTAACTTTTTAAATTGAGAATAATATAATACAAATTTTGACTAGACGAAAACCAGTTTTGAATAACCATTTTTAAAATGATAAGAGTTTAAAAGTTAGAATGGACGGAAAAGTGCGGTTGGGAAATGCGTGCAATTAAAAATAATACTACACTCCACCTTTCCTCCTGCCCTGAACTTGAAACTTTTAAGTTTCAAAAACACTAAATTGGGAGAGGTGTAAAAACAAAAAAAACGGTGAAAAATTTAAATCGCATTGCATAAAAAAACAAAATTTTACAAAATAATAAAATGGATATATAATTTAATAAGATTAAATCCAGTGAGATATTGAGTGGTTTACGATAAGTTGATCACCTTGTATAATTTATACATATAAATTATTAAAAGTTTATTGTTATTATTATCTCAAAGATATTGTATGCATAATTATAACTACACATAAAATGATAAAAACATTTTTACATTTTGTCCTATTCGTTGTTTTAACTGGATAGTTGTGACGCAGTACCCTCAGCATGTTATACATGTTGAGGCCCACGTTGTACTTTTCTATCACCCCCTCGACACATTGTGCAACACCCGATAGTTGACTTGTTTCCCGCCGTCCAGTTCTAAAGTACAAAAAAAATATGTTAAAATATAAGATACAGTTCTTGTGTACAGAAGACGAGTGGTCAAAGAGGTGATTGCGGCATTGCATTAGCGCTCACTGTCATTTGTTGACACTCCGCCACATCGGGTACTCTCTAAGCAGGAAAACAAACTCCCAATGACAGCCAAATTCCGCCTATGTCCGGTTAAGAAAGATAAATAAGTTATAATAAATAATTTAATCATTGGCTAGGAATAGGCCTAATATATAATTTTATCATTTTTTTTTTATTAAGTTATATTGTAGTCCATTCCTAAGCCTTTGTACACATAAGTGATTGAAGGGCATGAAAAGGTGTTTATTTAAAATAAAATAAGTCGAACTAACGACTATTTAAAGTTTATTACACAGTTAAGGTAAGCAATTCATGCTGAATACAAGCCAGAAGTCTTCTCCCAATATACCTATATTAAAAAAAAATATATTAATTTGCATAGTTTATACAGTTTTATTAAACTTATTTTTATTTTGTTCATATTAACAATATATTTATATGATCCATATATAAATATGTAAAAAAAAAAAATTATATGAAGAATTATAAATAAGCAGAGCTCATGTGGCTCAATTAGAGATCAATTGTATCTTTGCGAAGGGGGAGGGGTTCATGAAATTATTAAACAATATTTCAAAAAAACGCACACATTATTGTAACACGAGTATTCTTCTCTTTGCTCAAAATCTAAAAGGTTCATGAGGATATATCCTATATTTCCTGTGGGTAGGCCCCTTACGAAGGCGCCAATTTATTTTTGCACCGGAGCGCAACATGTCTAAATGAGGCACTGGTGGCGACCACAATAAGTCTACAGTACATATCTTTGGCCTTATACTTTTTGTTATTGAAAATAATAATAAGTTTTTAAAATATAATTAGTACAGATATTATTCTGTAACAGTTACTTTTATACTTTAAAAAACTCCCCAAAAAATGTGTTTAGACCACCCTAACATACATATATAGATAGTTTCTATAGTTTACAAATATATTTATTGGCTTTATTATTTATAAATCTTTATTAGTGATACCTATGTGTATAAATAAAGAACAGTTGCTAAAGCGATTTACTTATAACTTGACAACACCGAGCAAATGAAAATTGTTGATTGTAGTTATCGGAAAACGAAATTAAAAAAGAAAACCAAAATCTTAGGTACATTTTAACTTGTTTTTTTTTTTAGCATAATTTTATTGGCCACCGTTATTGTCTCGAACGTTATTGTGTTATGCTATCGGAAGACAGTGCCTGGTGTTGTGTGTTCCCGAATTACTGTGCGCCTACCGACAAGAAACCGTGGCTGGAGAACAAACAAGCCGGTCTTGTGTTGGGCGTGAGTGGTGTTTTCCTGCTGTCGTTGATCTTGCTGAAGCGGAAGCTGTGGCCGAAGAACATTGACAAAGGCCCTCTACATACCGAATTACGGAACGACCATACTGATGAAACTGTCTGGGTAAATTTTTCTATAATATTACACTTCCACCATCATACTATAGGGTTAACAGATAATGTGTCCTTTATCTGATATCGCATAACGAAATTTATACAACTACGGCTGCAAGTGATAAAAGTTGCCGATATCAGATAAACGAAACGTTTTCTGTAAATCCTCGACTGAAATTTAGTACGTGATCCTTTAGTAAGTGTTCGACCATTTGGATCAAGTTAACGTAGGTTTCTTGCTTTTTTAGAAACCTCTGGTGGTGGGAAATCCTGGTGGCGATTTCGACGTGTCAGGAATGAAATATAAACGAAAGTTCGCAGCTTATGGTAAGTCGAAGAACCTTGACGAGTCTCCGAGACTATGTAAAATCCAAGAGATGGACTACACTGAAGGCACCATGAAAGGCATGGATGCGACGGCAGTTACCGAGTTTGTGACCGTCCAAAACTGTATCGAAGGCGGCTTGTCTTGGAGCTGGCAAAGTCACAGATATAGGCCTACACACTGTATGACTAGTAGGAATAGCAAAACTTCGGAGGACAGCGATTCCAGGAGTGACACGGTACCACTAATGTCGAGTGCTGCTTCGAACAC